TTCTCTGACGTCATTAGTCCTGACCAATAAAGACTCGTTTCCTTACGTTGTCGGCTGCCAACCTTATGGCTAAGAAAGCCTTGAAAAGTAAAAATATTTTAATTTCAATTAAGTGACAGTTGTATGGAAGAATGCCCTACTTATTCGACTGCAAGAACTACGAAAGAGATCGATATGGAAAAGAAACAAAACTTGAAGAAATTTTCTTAGAGAAAGAAAAATTTTACTGTTTCTCTCCTCTTAGCAAAAAACACGTTTCATATCTAACGTTTTTCAGAAACTTCAAACACAATGCTGAAAATCAGTAATATTTTGGATGCTGTGATCAGTCGACCATCAAGAACGAAGAAACAAAACAAAACATAAAACTACAGGAAATATTTGTATTATAAACCTAACATACCAAGTTAATAAAACTACAGGAAATATTTGTATTATAGACCTAAAATACCAAGTTAATAAAAACTACAGAAAATATTTGTATTATAAACCTAAAATACCAAGTTAATAAAACTACAGGAAATGTTTGTATTATAAACCTAAAATACCAAGTTAATAAAACTACAGCAAATATTTGTATTATAAACCTAAAATAACAAGTTCATAAAACTACAGGAAATATTTGTATTATAAACCTAAAATACCAAGTTAATAAAACTACAGGAAATGTTTGTATTATAAACCTAAAATACCAAGTTAATAAAACTACAGGAAATGTTTGTATTATAAACCTAAAATACCAAGTTAATAAAACTACAGGAAATATTTGTATTATAAACCTAAAATACCAAGTTAATAAAACTACAGGAAATATTTGTATTATAAATCTTGTAGCCATCTTGTATTTCAAATATTTAGATTAACTGGTATCGAACTTGTGAAACTCTGTACAGTGTCGTTTTTCTTTTGCACCTTCCGTAAGATCTGCTGAAGAACTGGATAATTATGTCAGACTACTGGCATATGGGGGAAGAAAATCTACTAATATTAATATACTTATTGAGTGTTTTTCATATTAATAACCAGTATCCAACATAGTGGTAGATAAGGTTTTGGTTTTGTTTTGAACCTAATGTCGTCATAAGTATTAGAGAAACTGAAAAGATAGTTGATTTTTTTCCAGTAAATTGTCCTTCATGTACAATCATATCGAATTTACCTGACAGAAAGAACATTCAAAATCCATAAAGTTTTGATCTTTCATACACACGGAAGCGAACTTTTTTTTTGTTTGTTAGTAGAAAAAGAACAAAATTAATTCTCTGTTTAAACATTTATTTCTAAGTTCGTATAATAAACTCAAATAACATTTGAACGCAACCGATTTCCGTAAACTTTTCATTAATGACACGTATGTTTAAAACTAAGGCACATGATTGACAATTGTTTTAACTATCTAACTGAAGACAGATTTGGGAGTCATTAAAGTTTGGAGACGGTTTGAATGAGAAGTGAAAGAAACCTTAAGTTTTAAAAATATTCGGCGCTTAATCTTTTTCTTTTGGAATACGAAAAGACCAAATGAATTTCTTGCAGATCCTACATTGTTTATCACAATCGAAGTTACATTTGTAGGTTTTTTTGTTATTTACACACAAGGGTTTAGAACTAAGTATATTTCTCAGGATAGAGAGCGGATCACGTGACGAATTGCCTAGCGGGCTTCGAAGGTTTATTTAACAAAATAAGTCCAATAATATAACTAAGGTTAGGGCCATTTTGGTGAAATTAGTATGATGCTGATTTTCAGGTGTGATAAATATTTGGGTCTTTGTCATTGATGAGAAAGACCCACCTTTTGAAAGTGATAAATATTTATCCTATTAAACGTTACAGAGAATTATGGGAGTGTGTTCAATGTGAGGGATTATGGGAGTGTGTTCAACCTCAGAGATTATGGGAGTGTGTTCAATGTGAGGGATTATGAGAGTATGTTCAACCTCAGAAAATTATGGGAGTGTGTTCAATGTGAGGGATTATGGGAATGTGTTCAACCTGTGGGATTATGGGAGTATGTTCAATATCTGGGATTATGAAGTGTGTTCAACCTGTGGGATTATGGGAATATGTTCAACCTGTGGGATTATGGGAGTGTGTTGAACCTCTGGGATTATGGGAGTGTGCTCAACCTGTGGGATTATGGAGTGTGTTCAACCTGTGGGATTATGGAGTGTGTTCAACTTGTGAGATTATGAGTGTGTTGAACCTGTGGGATTATGGGAGTGTGTTCAACCTGTGGGATTATGGAGTGTGTTCAACCTCTGGGATTATGGGAGTGTGTTGAACCTCTCGGATTATGGGAGTGTGTTCAACCTAAGAGATTATGAGTGTGTTGAACCTGTGGGATTATGAAGTGTGTTCAACCTAAGAGATTATGAGTGTGTTGAACCTGTGGGATTATGAAGTGTGTTCAACCTCTGGGATTATGTTCAACCTGTGGGATTATGGAGTGTGTTGAACCTCTGGGATTATTGAAGTGTGTTCAACTTCTGGGATTATGGGAGTGTGTTCAACCTGTGGGATTATGGGAGTGTGTTCAACCTCTGGGATTATGGATTATGTTCAACCTGTGGGATTATGGGAGTGTGTTCAACCTCTGGGATTATGTTCAACCTGTGGGATTATGGGATTGTGTTGAACTTGTGGGATTATGGGAGTGTGTTCAACCTCTGGGATTATGGGAGTGTGTTGAACCTGTGGGATTATGGGAGTGTGTTCAACCTCTGGGATTATGAAGTGTGTTCAACCTGTGGGATTATGGGAGTGTGTTGAACCTGTGGGATTATGGGAGTGTGTTGAACCTGTGGGATTATGGGAGTGTGTTCAACCTCTGGGATTATGAAGTGTGTTCAACCTCTGGGGTTATGAAGTGTGTTCAACCTGTGGGATTATGACAAAACTATCAACGTCACCATTTCTTCCCAAATTGTCCTTTTAGAGCAATCCAGCTTTCAACAGTCTCACTAAATGTCCACTAAAAATTTATCAAACCTGCCTTGTGCTTCGAAAATTGATGAAAAATAACGATACAATGTAATGGATTGAACTTTAGATAATTTAAGTACATCCTGACAACACTTGGGATATTGCGTTTGTCTTAGAAGTTTCTCGCAAACCTACTATATGCACAAAGCTGAATCGAATTTTGGACTAACAGACAAGAGAGAGAGAAAGTAGCTAGTCAACAGCATCCACCACCAACCCCTGGACTACCCTACTGAATAGTGGAATCTTACTGTCACTCTTATAGCCTCAAAATGTGGAGCACATTTTTTGTTTTCTTTTTCTTTCTACAGTAACTGGATTAGGAAATCTATTATGATCACAAGTGTTGTTTCTAGCTGCGTTATAAATGTGAGTGTCGAATCTCACTATTCTGTCAGACACGAGTAGCCCAAGAGTTGGCGGTGGGTAGTGTTGACTAACTACCATCTCTCTGGTCCATCATTTAAAAATTAAAGATGACTATGCGTAGTTAGCCGTTTGTGTAGCTTTACGCGAAATAAACATGAATTTATAACCACGAATACCTGGTTCATTTTTAAATCACTAGGTGGCGATAGTTATTGAAATTCAATAGAACATTACTTGTTTTGTTTGTTTGTTTTGAATTTCGCGCAAAGCTACACGAGGGCTATCTGCGCTAGCCGTCCCTAACTTAGCAGTGTAAGACTAGAGGGAAGGCAGCTAGTCACCACCACCCACCGCCAACTCTTGGGTTACTCTTTTACCAACGAAGAGTGGGATTGATCGTCACATATAACGACCCCACGGCTGAAAGGGCGAGAATGTTTGGTGGGACGGGGATTGCGAGTCGAGCGCCCTAACCACCTGGCCATGCCGGGCCCCTTCTTGTGTAGATAGATCACTATGTTTGGAATTGATATGAAAAGTACTTCTTGTGAAAGACAAATTTTACTGCCAATAACAATATAGAAAATTCGTCACTGTTGACGTGTGATATAAAATGTGATTTCCCGCGCTTTCAGACAAAACGTTTTAATGTGAAGCTCAGAAGAAAGTATAATACAGAAATAAATATATCAATTAAAGATAAGCTGGAAAGTTATATAGATGATCATTCTTTTATTGGAACCTAATTATCTAGATCCCTTCCTGGACTCGGTGATTAGGAACGTAATTATCAAGATCCCTTCCTGGACTCGGTAAATAGGAACCTAATTATCAAGATCCCTTCCTGGACTCGGTGATTAGGAACCTAGTTATCAAAATCCCTTCCTGAACTCGGCTGATTAGAAACGTAATTATCAATATCCCTTCCTGGATTCGGTAATTAGGAACCTAATTATCAAGATCCCTTCCTGGACTCTGTGATTAAAGAAATTTATCCTGACCACAAGTAACTTTAGTATACAGTTCCTGGTATTAAGTGTTACAATACGGTAATCTCAAAACGAAGTTTCACCGGTTTTTTAATCCTCTTTTAAAATATTGTCTGATCTTCTAATCAAAATGTAGGAATGAATGTGCGATGTTTATATAAAAGGTAGAGCTTGCAGAAATCGAATGGACCGAATTGAAACTCCAGAATTGTATTTAAAGTTTACTATTTGGTGCTTTGGACCTGAACGAACCTTATGTAACACTTGACATAAATGATCAGGCAAGTTTGTGTGTTTCTTGTTGTTAAGCACAAAGCTACACAATGGGCTATTTGTGCTGTGCACACCACGGGTATCGAAACCAGGTTTTTAGCGATATGAATCCTCAGACTTACAAGTGAGCCGTTACGAACTTTGAACTGTTGACCATAATGACGAAGTTCCTATAAAGGTACTCTTATTTGAATTGCAGGTTTGACTATCACACTTATAACGCCTACAGAGATGAAAGTATAAGAGGCATTTCGTTGACATGAATATAGAACCTTCGGATCAGCAGCTCGGCACGCTAACCAACTTCCTTAATTGGCTGTTGTATAAAGGTCACGATTTGTATGGCATTAAGGTGGTTTCGAAAACAAAAAAATCTACGATATATGGGATTACTTTTCTAGACAATAGGTTTTATTCATACATGTTGTCGAGTTACAATATCTGGATCAGTATTAATGGAACACTAAAAGATTATTAACAGAGAAGAGATAAACCGAACAACAAAGAATTGGCACTTTAAAGAAACACTAACAGAAGAATAAGTCAGATGCTAGATAAGTTTTATATTACACATATTCATCAATAATCGGTCAAATTAGAAAACAATCTACTCCCAAGGACCGCCAGATGGAACAACAACTATTTTATGATGACCACCAACAGAACCTCCGTATCCATAGGGCTTACTAGGCGGGTAGTAAGGAGGGGGAACAGGGGCGGATGACTGGAAGGTCACGTCAGCAGGGTTATCACTCTTGGTACCAGGTTCGTTAGTGTAGACGTGAGCTCTGAAACCTTCTGGACCAGCAGTGTACTGGACTTTCCTCTGGCGTCCATCTGCATCAGACAGCTTGTAAGAACCGCTCACCCGACCGGATCCATCTCCAGATTCCTGGCGTGCGCTAAGCCCACCAATAGCAGGAGCGACATAACCAAACGAGTAAGGTGTTGGAATGGAAGGGTATACTGGTTGCTGGCCGTAACCTCCCTTTGAGGAAATAAAAAGTTTTAGCTTCCAAATTCTTAAGATAACATAATCTTTTGCTAGAGAATTTGAACGGTTTTTCTTGTTATAACTGTATCAGTCCAAGTCAATATCTATGTATATATATATATATATTCTGTTATATTAGCAAGACTCATATAAATCATCTTCGTAGTTTTACATCGCTGAAATATATCAAATACTTTCGGTAACATATAATTAATGTAATTAAGAATGTAAAACTTTCTTATAAAGATGTGTGAAAGAAAACTAACATTCTCGTATAGAATTAATTTGTTATAAAATATGTATTAGCCATTACTGCGTGAATAGGAATCCCGCTGCCATAACCCCCTCCTCCTCCTCCTCCAATGAATCCCGCTTGAGCTGCAGCAAGAAGTCCTAAAACTGACAAGACCTGAGGGAAAAAAAAATACATTTTTAAACATTCACAGAAATGTAACGTTTATCTACTCCAATAGAAAACTGGTTTTTGTTTTTTTTCATATAATATTCAGCGTAGGTTAAATATGTGTAGCTTTGCATTCTCGTTTTCTCTAAAGTTTTACTACCAAATTAGTAAAAAAATAAAATAAACGTGCGTGGCGCCATCTGGTGGATACTTTTAAATACCTTAACTCCACGTTGTTTGAAAGACGTGGATGGCAAAAAAGCATAACCATGAAGGGTTTTGCAAAAGTTTTACTACCAAATTTGTTAAATTAGTATTAAAAAAGTGCATGGCTCCATCTGGTGGCTACTTTAAAAACATTTACTCCACTTTGTTTGAAAGACAAGGATGACAAAAAGGCATAACCAAGAATGTTTTGCAAAAGTTTTACTACCAAATTTGTTAAATTAGTATTAAAAAATGCATGGCTCCATCTGGTGGCTACTTTAAAAACATTTACTCCACTTTGTTTGAAAGACAAGGATGACAAAAAGGCATAACCAAGAATGTTTTTACAAACGGAAATATTATTATCGAGATACTTGAAAGCTCCTTCTTCAATACTGTCCGATAGTGAAACGTTTCTAATTTACTACACGATAATTATTAGGCCTCAGACTACGATAATGCTATGATCGGCACACACTATTAGCATCAGTTAATGTGTTTGTAATAATCTAAGTCCCAGATCTGTTCAAAAGCTACGTTTTGTGCAAACAAAATCATCACTCTTAAACCTAAACCTTTGAAGAAATTTTTTATTTCCAAAAGGAAGAATTAGTGTATGAACGAAGAGAGAGAAACGTGTTATATAGTTACCTGAATCATTGTCACTGACTGAGGTGTCCTGATGAAGACAAAGGGAGTTTGTTAAGAGAAGTTCTAAAGTTGAATATGATTCCTGCTAGAACTAAGAAGGCTTTTATAGCAAGCAAGACCAGTATTTTCTTTGACGTCATTAATCGTTAACCAATAGCATATAAGATAAACGTTGATAGTCAAATGTCAATCATGTATTATTTTCATGTTCTAAAAAAACAAAGGCCACAGATTCTTCAGGCTGAGGCTCAATTTCTGTGATCTACTTTCTGGGCTATTGCCGCCAGCATCATTGCCTGGGCTATAGCCTTGGGCTTACACATCACTTTTTTCTGCTTGGGTGAAAAAAAGTGCCCTAATTTTAAGTTTTTGGTGCTGAACGGATTGCTAAAGATAATTAAAAGTCATCATGTTCGTAAACTTTAGAAAGTAAAGTGGTTAGAACAGATACAAAAAATCAAATTATACTCAGATTTTTCAACCCCTATTTGGTAACGAAGACAAAGGTTCACCTCATGCTTGAGCCATGAATAATCGGAAGTTGAACAAAGAGGTTTCTCTGTCTGTGAGAAAATGGTCCAACCTTTCACATTTGTATCGTAAATATATCAACAATTCAACTAAAATAGTGTTTTATGTTAGAGAGCTGACGGTCATTGGCCAGTAATTATTGTATATCTTTTAAAGAAGGCAGTTTCACATTAATTATTTTCCAGCCTTCACTAAACAAGTTTTTGCAAGTTAGTAAATTCGGCATTGTACATAAGAAGCCAGATGTAGTCGAGTGGTTAGCGTTCTGGGCTGCGGATCAAAGGTCCAAGCTTCGAGCAGCGATATGCCGCTGAACAAGCTCCTAACTTACTGCTATGGTTATCAAACCTCACTATTCAGTTAACGGTATAGGTAGCAGGTTATGACGACTCTTTGACCTCCTGTTGTCAGCAGTGACGACTATGACTGAACCTTAGAAGACCCTGATCAGGCCGTTTAGTTTATGAGTTGATTCCCTGTTGTCAGCAGTGATGACTATGGCTGAACCTTAGAAGACCCTGATCAGGCCGTTTAGTTTATGGGTTGATTGAAAACAATAAATATTACCTATTTAAGGTACTCACTAGAGACTGGATTTTACAAAATACGTTATTGTAAAAGTAAAACATTTAATAAATGTATTTTTACATTATTCTGACAAATCCGGTTATTAACTATAAAACCTAAATTTTAACAATAAAACATTGTACTTTTTTATTAAGTTTGTATATTTGTTTTAGAGCTAAGTCATATTGTGATATATGCTGTATCTAAAGCGGGAGTCCAGCCCCGGATTTTAGCATTGTAAGTCCGTAAACTTATCGCTGTCCCACCGGGTGACTCTTTTAATAAGTGTAAACGACATTTGAAATACATTTAAGTAATTTACTATTAGAGAGACACCTAGCGTTCAACTTTTAGCAAAACATTTCACAACTGTTGTACATTAAGAGATTATGTTTTACTTTCGTATTTAATTAGTTTGTTAAGAAATAAAGGGCCTTAATAAGTATCGTCCATAATTATTCCAAAAAGTTTTGTAAAACACGTGCACCTTAACAGAAACAAACCAGTACTCTTTTCATATATCATACTTCACAGACGGCATGTTTTCCTCTCTTCACTAATCTGTACTATAACAGAATGATAATTATAAAGTACCAGCGCATTTTTAAGACAATGAATATTAGTTCTGTCATTAAATATAAAATATGGTTAGTTGAAATTAGTCCAGAACTACAGAGTATGTGTGTTTCTTTGATTGTTTTGAATTTCGCGCTAAGCTACACGAGGGCTTTCTGCGTTAGCCGTCCCTAATCTAGCATTGTAAGACTAGAGGGAAGACAGCTAGTCATCACCACCCACCGCCAACTCTTTTACCAACGAATAGTAGGATTGATCGTCACATTATAACGCCCCCGCGGCTGAAAGGGCGAACATGTTTGGTGGGGCGGGGATTTGAACCCGCGACCCTCAGATTGCGAGTCGAGCGCTCTAACCACCTGGCCATGCCGGGCCCTACAGAGTATAACGCTAGTCTCTTGAGCTACGCATGCGCAAGTTGGTTCTGTTGTGATATCATGTGATTTTTATCTAAAACTTTGTGTGCTTCTTTTGTTTTGACGCAAAAGGTACACAAAGGTCTATTGGAGCCTTGTCCACCACGAGGAATCTAACACGGGATTTTAGTTATTAGGAAAAAAATCTCTTACCTTACTAAAGCTGAATATGCCTAAATCTTCTAGCGATAATTACAATATGTTTATAAAATATGTCCCATATTTAAAATATCTTAAAATTGTTTAGTACAGGATAAGTTCTCTACAAAAATCATACAATCAGTAGTAACATTCTTACAGTAGTTCAGCAACAGTAGTGGTTCAGTAGTAACATTCTTACAGTAGTTCAGCAACAGAAGTGGTTCAGTAGTAACACTCTTACAGTAGTTCAGCAACAGTAGTGGTTCAGTAGTAACATTCTTACAGTAGTTCAGCAACAGTAGTGGTTCAGTAGTAACATTCTTACAGTAGTTCAGACAACAGTAGTGGTTCAGTAGTGTAAGAATGTTACTACTGAATCGATACTGTTACTGAACTACTGTAAAAGTGTTACTACTGTAAGAGTGTTACTACTGAACCACTACTGTTACTGAACTACTGTAAGAGTGTTACTACTGGATCACTACTGTTGCTAAACTACAGTAACAATGTTACTACTGAACAACTACTGTTACTGAACTACTGTAAGAGTGTTACTACTGAACCACTACTGTTGCTGAACTACTGTAAGAATGTTACTACTGAACCACTACTGTTGCTGAACTACTGTAAGAATGTTACTACTGAACCACTACTGTTGCTGAACTACTGTAAGAGTGTTACTACTGGATCACTACTGTTGTTGAACTACTGTAAGAGTGTTACTACTGAATCACTACTGTTGCTGAACTACTGTAAGAATGTTACTACTGAACCACTACTGTAAGAATGTTAGTAGTAACATTCTTACAGTAGTTCAGTAACAGTAGTAACACTCTTTCAGTAGTAACATTCTTACAGTAGTTCAGTAACAGTAGTAAAACTCTTTCAGTAGTTCAGTAACAGTAGTAAAACTATTTCAGTAGTAACATTCTTACAGTAGTTCAGCAACAGTAGTGATCCAGTTGTAACATTCTTACAGTAGTTTAGTAACAGAAGTGATCCAGTAGTAACATTCTTACAGTAGTTTAGCAACAGTAGTGGTTCAGTAGTGACATTCTTACAGTAGTTCAGTAACAGTAGTGATTCAGTAGTAACATTCTTACAGTAGTTCAACAACAACAGTTGTGATTCAGTAGTAACGCTTACAGCAGTTCAGTAGTAACACTCTGACAGTAGTTCAGTAGCAGCACTCTTACAGTAGTTCAGTAACAACACTCTGACAGTAGTGATTCAGTAGCAACACTTACAGTAGTGGTTCAGTAGCAGCACTTACAGTTGTGGTTCAGTAGCAGCACTCTTACAGTAGTTCAGTAACAACACTTCGACAGTAGTGATTCGGTAGCAACACTTATAGTAGTTCAGTAACAACACTTCGACAGTAGTTCAGTAACAACACTCCGACAGTAGTGATTCAGTATCAAAACTTACAATAGTTCAGTAACAACACTCTGACAGTAGTGATACGACAGCAACACACTTACAGTAGTTCAGTAGCAACACTTACAGTAGTTCAGTAGCAGCACTCTGACAGTAATAACACTCTTACAGTAGTTCATAAACAACACTCTGACAGTTGTGGTTCAGTAGCAACACTTACAGTAGTTCATAAACAACACTCTGACAGTTGTGGTTCAGTAGCAACACTTACAGCAGTTCAGTAGTAACACTTACAGTAGTTCAGTAGGAACACTCTTACAGTAGTTCATAACAACACTCTGACAGTAGTGATTCAGTAGCCGCTACTGAATCACTACTGTCAGAGTGTTGTTAATGAACTACTGTCAGAGTGTTGTTAATGAACTACTGTAAGAGTGTTCCTACTGAACTACTGTAAGTGTTACTACTGAACTGCTGTAAGTGTTGCTACTGAATCACTACTGTAAGAGTGTTGTTAATGAACTACTGTAAGTGTTGCTACTGAATCACTACTGTAAGAGTGTTGTTAATGAACTACTGTAAGTGTTGCTACTGAACCACAACTGTCAGAGTGTTGTTTATGAACCACTGTAAGTGTCTTACTTACAGGAAAGTATTATCTGGATATTCACTCACTTATAGTACTTACAGGAAAATGTTATCTGGATATTCACACACTTATAGTACCGACTTACATTAAAGTATTATCAGGATATTCACTCACTTATAGTACCAAGCTAATTAAGGGACATTTGTTACTTTAGGCACATGGTATTAAGACAAGGCATGGCATGATCTGATGGTTAGGACGTTCGACTCGAAATTTGCAGGTTGCAGATTCGAATCTCGTCCTTTCTGCCGTGAGATTGTATAATGTTGGTAAAAGAGCAGCTCAAGATTTGGCTGCTTTCCCTGTCATTTATCACTGCTAAGTTAGGGACAGAATTGTGTGGACGATTTTCATCAAACAAACTGGAGGGTTAAAATATTGTTATATCTATACTTATTGTATGACAACCTCAAGTAAACACATACAGTACTACTGTATGTGTAGTTTTCTGTTCAGCATTGACAAGTAATCATTTAATAGTGGGTGAGTTCGACACCATTATTTGATGTATGATCTCAGTAAGTAAGATCGAATAATCCTGCTACTCAACCACAACTGTAAAAGTGATACTATAAGTGAGTGAATATCCAGATAATACTTTCCTGTAAGTCCGTAGTATAAGTGAGTGAATATCCTGATAATACTTTCCTGTAAGTCGGTACTATAAGTGAGTGAATATCCAGATAATACTTTATTGTATGTCGGTAGTATAAGTGAGTGAATATCCAAATAATACTTTCCTGTAAGTCGGTACTATAAGTGAGTGA